CTTTCCGCTCTTATTTTAAGTCCGGAATATTAACTGACCCCTTTTGGAATGGCGCGCGTGCCATCACACATCGTTCATCACACTTATTCTTGTTAATCAATATTTTGAAAATATTACTTGCTCTCGGAATCAAATAGTGTTAACAGATTTACACTACATATTCCCGGAAAAATTAAATTTTACGAAAGAGAGAAGGAAAGAGACTACGAGTTTTCTCTTTATTTCAAAAGTAAATTTTATTGTATCATAATAGTGGAAATTGTATCATAATAGTAGTCTTATTGATTTATGCAGAAAACCGTTTGACATATTTCAAGTTATGGTTAAAGTAAGATTCCTATGTGATCCCGACTGCATTTCATATAATGAAGAATTTTTATAATTTTAATATAATATATAATTTTCACGTAAATACACAATATTTTTCATGATCAGTGTTTCAATGTTCTTCCTTATTTCCGTTGGCTATTCTGCAAACTGTTCGTCTTCTTTTTGCAAAGACTGGGAACTTCGAGACCATACAAGAACCTTGCTTTAGCCATAACTCGAAACACGTCAAACAACCTTCTACATGGATCGATGAAGCTACTTTCATGGCATAGTTTCCACGATAAAAGCTACTTTTGCAATAAAGAGTACTCGTGGTCTTGCTCTAACTTTTTCTCTCTTTTTCTGAAATGATCGATTTCATCGCGAATCAATAATTACCGCGAATTACGTTAGTGTTGTACATGGAGAACTATGATAACGTCAAAAGATAAATCGACATTTAACATGAACACGATACGGGTTACGTGGCGCCGAAGAAGGAAGGGATGCATAAAATGTGGGCATTTCCTGCGAGAGTTTTCTGCAGGTGCACAGGAATACAACGTCCTGTTCGCAGAGACACTTGTCATTAAAAGCTACTTTTGCAATAAAGAGTACTCGTGGTCTTGCTCTAACTTTTTCTCTCTTTTTTCTGAAATGATCGATTTCATCGCGAATCAATAATTATCGCGAATTACGTTAGTGTTGTACATGGAGAACTATGATAACGTCAAAAGATAAATCGACATTTAACATGAACACGATACGGGTTACGTGGCGCCGAAGAAGGAAGGGATGCATAAAATGTGGGCATTTCCTGCGAGAGTTTTCTGCAGGTGCACAGGAATACAACGTCCTGTTCGCAGAGACACTTGTCATAGACGCAAACGTCCGGTGACGTCTTCTTACGCTAAAGACTCTTTCTCTCTTGCTTCCGTGACACCTGGGTTAATTTAGGTTCTCACGCTGTTTAAGAAAATTACTCTGTCGCTTTAATTAGTCGTCCTCGTCGCCGCACGTCACGATTGAGAGGCTACGAAGGTTCGATATGCGGGTAATTTGTAATTATAAAAGAATCTTCATCCGGTACACTGGTCTTCTCGCTCGGAAACTTCCGAGAGCGGCAAGCGATGTTACAAAACGAATACACAAAGAAATCATAATCTCTAGGAATTTATATTGTGGAGTATAATATTTTTTAGCAATGAAAGCTTGAAATAACGTTTAATAGAAAATTATAAAACAGCAGATTCCTCGGTAATTTCCGGCTACGATAATTTCGTTCGGCTAGTCGTTCTCTTTGAATTTTATCGTTACAAATTTTACAGAGTTATTAGAAAAGAGAGTTAAAGAGAGTAAAGAAAAAAAATCACGTTGTCAAGAATAAATAACTAATTAATATAATGTAAAAGGCTCTGTTGTACAAACAAATGCTAATAAGAGAACGGGCTAGTAATAAATAACTATTTCGAGAAAATATCTCTGTTTCAGCTGGTTCTCCAATCAGCTGGCGCGGGTCCTAGCGTTCTCCAGCAGTTATGCACTCTACCGTTCCCGTTTTATGGAGATCCCAGATTGTTACCGTACACTTTGCCGGCACTTCTGGCCGCTACGCATAATAATTCCGAGGCAATGGCGATATTGTCTTGTGAGATGTCATACGAGGTAAGTAATTAAATGTGCGACTCACGCTGTCATATACGATAATTCCATCATGTTAAAATAAATTTCATATTGAACAGATATATCAATTACAATAATATTCACAAATGTTTCGAAACACTTTTTAGAAGTTTGTTATTTTTTAGAAATATATTATTTATTTTCCTAACATGTTAAAGAAAGATTTGTTTATGTATATCTGTCATCTTTCTATCTTTCTATATTATATTAAAAACTTTTGTCAAGGTTTTAGCAAATATATATTTTTTTTATTAATATTATCTGCAACTCTTTCTAAATGCAATAAATTGCATTTTATATGTAAATTAATGAGACACATTTATTGGTCACCGGTGATTTAATCACCACATGATTTAATATGTTTACACATAAACATATATATCAGTTTAAATATTTATACTTTTAACATGTAATAATATTAATTTTACATGGCATTCAATCAGTCTTTTTTGCAAATTGGTTTAAATTTAATTTTTAGACTTTATCTAAAAATGTTCTATGAATGCTATCTTGTATTGGCTGTATGGTATTAATATATCGTATTCACCTAACACAATTTATAAGTTGATATTCATTCTATCCACTTTTATTTATATTATATGCTTTCTATACATTTTTGTCTCTCTATATGAATAATAATATTTAACGAATAAATTTGCAAATTGGCTTACAGTTGCTGGAGCAGTACAGAAATTCAGACGAAGGTAAATTGAATCCTTTGGTGCATTTGCTGAAGGATAACGCCTAGTCTGCCTCACGTTTTCCGCCTTAAAAGGTTTGATTAGTTTAATTCCATTTCTTAGAATTCTCATTACAGGCGACTCTCGTAATCCGCGCGTATCGAAATCATTGATATATCATTATGTCAATTTACAATTGTCTGTTTAATGAGATACGAAAAAAACCGCAAAGCGAACATTTAAAGAAATTGAATCTAATGCGTAGCTAATTTAATTTAAAAATTCGTAGCCGCTTCTGTCTATTATTGCATAATTAGATATACGATCCCGATAACAGAAACTTCCCGTTAAGTAAGTAATACGTCGAATGCTAGCGATTCTTCAAGTCCAGGAATAAAACTCGATTTGCAGAGACGAAGTTAAATTTACTCGGAAGTTAACGCGAACGAAAGAAAATAGCACGAACGTTAATTTAGACCGTTGCTTCCCAAACCATCCTTGTGCAGCCTATTTATGGCTACGTACTGATGAGACACGCATGATATTCCGTTTTATAGGCTTGCAATCTACACCATCGAACTTTTACACAGAGGGTTCTAGAATCTCTGGATTTTATAATTATAGATCATTTTAACGAATATATTAAATATTTTAATACATCATGTACGTGTTCCGTAAATATTATTAGCAAAATTACGAAAAATATTGTAGAACTTTGGATTTTTGGGGAAATTTGTAAAATACTTATTTAAGCATCGTGTCTTATTGGAATTAAAAAAAAAAAAACATACACATTTTCCGAATCTAAAGATGGGAAAAGCAAGAAATAGAATTGCAATATATATTTTCGATTAATTGCTCGCAATGAGTGATCTCGCGTTTTGCTTTGTTGAACGTAACGATGTGTGGAATAATTTATTCCTACGCGTCAGTAACGACTTACGATCGAAGTTACCTGTCACCTCGGTGAACGGATGATGACATTAAATGTCACGACACCCTTTCCCGAGGTGTTTCAGGTTTAAATTAAGTAGGCGTATACTGAAATTATCACATCGCGCTTCGTGAATTGTCAATCTGAATAATTTATATTTTTACATTCTAACAAGCAAAGATACGAATTTAAAGGAGTCTGCCTTTTAAAAGGACTCGAGAAAACAATGCGCGCGGATACAATTGTTTTCAGAGATATCGTTTCGATTAACAAATTTAAAGATGAGAATGAGATGAAGAGATTGTTTAGAAATTAATTTCACGATACTATCTTAAGATGATTATACGCGTATTACGGGAGGTATAATCGAGAGAAACACGCGGACTATCTGTGAATCTAGTCCTTTTATAATGTTAGTAGATTCTATATATATATTTGCAATCGTCACACTGTGTGCGTATCTCTACTATATTTTTTACTATCGTCCTCTCCCCCTCGTTTCCACACGTGCCAATCTTATCGTGCAAAAAAATGTGTCTTCAAACTGGGCCTTTTTCGCATAGTAATCGTCGCGTGGTACGGCCCGATAAACGTAGAAAGATGCGTATGTTAACCACGTGAACTGTGTACCGGAGTATAATAGTATTCATCTCTGATCTTTCCTTTTCGAGAATCAAATCTACACTTTTCATTTAAATTAATATCTCTTGATATCATGAAACTTGGAGAAATTTTATAGCTAGGCTATTAGCAAAATTATTCGAAGAATATTATTTTTTATTAGTTCAAGAAAACGGCGTTGATTATATTATTTATTTATTCCGAGCGCAATCGTTACACGAATCGCGATGAATGTTAATCTTAGAAGGTACAAGTTTTCGTGATTACAACAGATGCATTCGTGCAATGTCCTGTCAATGCAATTGATATTTAAGTACTACACTGTTAAATAGAGTATGAAAAAATTTATAAATTTATTAATAGTTTGTGGGGCAGTATTTTCTATCAAGCTTGTATTTTTTTTTTAATATGTATTTGATTGAAGATACACGTGCACGCGTTTGTCGTAAGTTTCGAATTTCCGACACTAAATATCTTAAGAACTTTCCGCATAAACCGCACATTCTGTTCTTGCAAAGCGAATAGAATTCATCTACACGGAGGGAGGGGAAACTTTGTAATCCTAAATATATTAATAAATTAGATTGTGTAACAAGATGTTTTACAACGAAAGTAAATGTCTTCTCGCGGAATTTGATGGAAAATATTGCCTTGCTCATTATCGATTTTTCGAGTGTATAGACACACGCATACATGTAGCAAATATTTAATATCCAGCAAATATTTAACATTAACAATTTGAGTCGGACGAAAAACTCGAGAATCATAAATATCTCGTGTGTTCGACTTTAAATAAAATATATATTTAATAATAGTAATATATATAAGTAAATAATATAAAATGTTTATTATAATCTCTCTTCTGCGAAAATTTCGTCGTTCGAATAAATTCGCAGTTTTACTTAAGAGAGGGAGCAATCTCGGCGAAGCTTTCGCGCAAGCTGATCGATATCGTATAGCATAGATATATCCTAGATTAGTAGCTGAAAATTGAATCGCAATGTTTTAGTGAGCTAGTTTAGTAACGTCGCTTTTTTGTCGAATACTGACTGCGAGAGCGCGCGACTCGTAGCGTTATAAAAAACGAAAGAGAAACGGTATTTTTCTACGATAGCTTGTATAAAAATGCGCATACGTAATTCGATTCGAAATGATCCTTTATATAAATTAATAAATGCGCACCACTCTCGCGGGGAAATATATCTCTGCGACGTGTTCCTTCATTAATTCGATCCGTACTTATGCGTCTCCGTCTCGTACTCGCGTCATTCGCGAGAATTTCGTCTCGTGCAGGATCCATCGCGTTTATTTAGAATAGCGTTTCGAAAAGGTAGCTATGTAAAGTGAATCGTGCAACTTTGTTAACAAACTTGGCTAAGCTCGAATGGGGAGGTAATTGAGTCTGCAGGATAAATCGGAAATAATAAATTCAACGAATACGATGAATTTTCGCCGCGATAAGTTTAATCGTTGTTATAAAATTACTAAAATAAATGGCGAGTATAATCGTTACAACGAGCAATTAAGCAAGTGTGACAATTATTAATTTTATTCTTAGTATTACGCGTTATTGCGTCCATTTATTACCCCAATTGACCTTAGTCCTTTAATGTTGGAAAAGTATTAGCCGCTCGCGGAAATGCAGATAGGACACGATTATTTTATCGCGAAGAGAAAGTAGTTTCGATACTTGTAACACGAACAATGTTAAGTGCCATGCCGTACCATGTACTTGATGCGCATCGAGATTTTTGTCTCCCAGCGTACGCATACATTTGGCGTATGTAGAAAGAGGAATATGTATTAAGCCAATATATTACGTATGTAATATGTTATACGTAATAAAGATAACACGCTTTGCGATATATATATATATATATATATATATATATATATATATATATATATATTTCGCTTAATCCTCCTCTTAAGATAATGAGATCAACAGAAACAGTAAATTTTATATTTCAAAAAAAATATAGAATATATTTATTATTTGTGAAAAATTTCTGCGTGGAAAAATTGGCGAATCTCGGAAAAGCGATTTCAGTCTCCAATGTTAAATTTTTACAATTAAATTTCTCGTCGAGTTTTTTCTCTGAGAAAAAAATAATCGATTTTAAGATTGATAAAAAAATTTGCCACTGAAAAATACATATCGCGGAATAAGGCACGAGATAAATCGCCAACTATATATACTTCCATCTCGCTGTTTTTGCGACAATCGAAGACGGATCGAGACGGAAAAGAGAGAAAGAGAGAGAGAGAGAGAGAGAGAGAAAAAAATGTCTGTCGTCAAATCGAAAAAAGGCGCCGACGAGGTTCCCACCCGTGAAAAACGGCGGCATCTCGCCCTCTCATACTAGACTAGAAACGCTCACACACGCGTGCGCGCGGAAGAGGGCCCCGTGAGAATGACGTATGGGGTCCATGGGGTAATTTTTTTTCCCGAAGCGTTTTAGCGCGAGAGATGCGCCTCTACTTTTTCTGGCGCCGTAATCTATAGGCGCACTTAATACAGCCGCCTCGTTTTGAGTAACCTCGCCCCCTGCCCCTCACCGCGCTTTCGTTCACCTCCTTTCCGCTTCTCGTCTCTTCTTTTCGCTCCCCCGCCCCCTCCGACATGCGCTCCTTCAACGTATGACGTTATTCCGCTCGTTCCTCACGCTGTTCCTTTTCTCTCTCTCTCTCCCTCTATCTCTCTTACGCTCCGCTAACGCTCGGCATCTCCGGACTCCACTTAGCGAGACTGCATAATATATCACGCTGCTTTTACATCGCACACCTATATACGACCAGCCTGCAGCGCGCTTACGATGTGACGTTTACGCAGCACAGCCACGTGCACAGAAACGGCGGCACGCATTGCGTTTCGCTCATGGTGTGCCGCGATGCATCTCGCCACGAGTAAACCGACTCGGCTACAATATAACACGGTTAACAAAAGAAGCCTCAGAAAAAGAGTAATCGTTTCTTGTAATATTTTTTTAATGCTTAATACGATTTAGATCTCATTGTCAGAAATGCTCTATCACGTCTGTGATTTTGAAAAATTCACACACAAATCTACTACAAAGAGAGATTAAAATAAAAAGTAATTAAAAACTCACCGGTACGATGCGCAACGGCGGAGTTGTAGGACGTAGCAATCTGTAAAATACAAATATATCCAGATTATAAAGAGAATGTGTGTGTCAGAATAATTAATATAAAATAATTATTATACACAAGTAAAAAATTTGCATTTTTTTACATAGATATTTAATACAAATGTTATGTAGAATTCCAAAAAAATAATAAATTTAATTATTATATAAATGTATTGCAAATAATCTTAAACACAATGTTAAAATATTTGTCATGAATCTATGTAAAAATATTAGTTATAAATATTTTAATTTTAAATATTAAAATATTAATATTAAATAAATTCTTAAAATAAAAGGGACAAATATAGATTATACTGTTACATTTGTCATTATGTATTACAAAATGATTTAAAAAATGGATCATTATCGTGAAAATACTGAGTATTTAATTTCACGCGCGCAGAGATAATAAATAATATAAAATAAATTAAATAAATTATAAATTGCTCACCTCTCGGTTGCTCCGCCGTTGCTCGACGCCTTCCCAGGCCTGCTCCTCTTTTCTTGTTGATCCTTTACTGCTTCTTCATGGCATTCAATACTCATTCGCAAAAACACGGTTAATTAAGATCGCGCGAGCACTAATCATTTATCGCATGACACTTTTCTCGGCACTCTAGCCATTGATCGAAACACATTATCGTTGATCGATCGATGCGAACCTTGTTACAACGCGATGGGAGAAAAATGCGAATATACAAAACAATTTCGCACACAGCTACAATCAATATCGGAAAATCGGCCGACTAAACTCACGCGTCATTCCTCGCGATGATGCTATGTCTATATTACTAACAAGTATATACTTTCATTTTAAGAGGATTAATTATCATTTTATTATAACTCAAGTGTGTGAATAAATATATATATGAAGTAAGATTAAAATTTCGTAGATTTTTACACACACACACACACAATATACGCATCCTCCCCCCCTCTCCCCACATACATGTATGTATATATTTCTTACATTTATTCGATCGAGATCTATCGCAAGAGCAGCAAAGTTACGTCACACTTAATATATTAATATATTAATTCACATACTTGTGTTATAGTATTTGAATAAACGTACGGTTAACGTAATCGATTTACGGGCGATAATATTTTATATCGGTCAATATATTAAAAATCAAATATATCTATCATCGGGTTTTGTATTTTTTGCCTATTTAAGTACAATACGCTCGTCATTTACGGAGAACAGAATAATTTCTGCGTTCTTAATTCGACTCTAAACATATTTATAGATGTGTGAAATATATTCTTTGATAAATATAAGTATCTGGATGCCGCGATAGGTTTACATGTCGCGGAAATTAATTAATCGCGCGAGCTGATAATTTTAATTATAACAAATAATCGCGTTTAGCGTCTCCCGTTATTTTTCACATTTATACATCTCGAAAGTTAACGACGACACACGCCGCTACCTTCTTACTCGAGTGTCGCCGCGCGAATGATGACAAGGCCACAGTATGTAAACAATACATACCACGTTATAAGCCACAAAAACGAGCGTCAAACATCGTATAATATATCTAATACATATTTTTGATATTGAATTTTTCACCGATTTCGCTCATTATTTTTAGCTTTAAAACACAAAGTATTGTACACAAATAACAGAATCGACCGACTAAAGTAACGAAAAACAAAATGATATATAAATAGTTATATAATGTGTTAAATAATAATGATTGAAAATATAGCTAAATAATAGTGATGTGTAAATAGTAACATATAAATCGCGATTATTAGTAATTAATTTTAAATACGAGAAGTGTATTAAATATTCCGCGTGAATTTATTTTATAGCACGTTAAATATTTCATAGGAAGAAGAAATAACTTACGTACGTAATGTTAGTTCGGCGCTTGTTTTTGCGGGGTATAGCGTGGCGTGGTATGTATTGTTTACATAACGTGGCCTTGTCGCGGCGACACTCGAGCTCGAGACATCACGACGTAAGCCACTCTCCGTATATCTTCGCATTACTTTCTAAAACGCGGTCATTTCTTACAATTATTAGAATATTAACGATTATTAACTCGAGATTATTAATTGATTAACTCGCGTACAATAAACGACACGGCGTAAGAGTATCGCGTGCGATGGCTATTTATTTCAAATAATAGAAAAGTACTGTTCATTAATAATACAAATATTTCGTGTGATTTGTTGGAAATAAATTATATATGTAATCCTGAATTTCGATAGCATATTTTCAAACGATTCATTGCGTCTCAAATAGCTGAATTAAAGAACTCGAGTATTAATGAATACATATAGTCGATATATCATGCTTTTTCAGTAGAAATTGAATCAAATAGCCGTCGTCAGGAGACTTATACGTCGTTACTATATTCTTATGTGTCGTGATATCAGGATAAAATTGCCGATGTCTTTTTTGGAATTTTTCAAATTATATGTTCATTTACTTATGTTATACGTAACGCGTAGTAAAATTATCCTATAAAATATGCTATTTATCAATCGAAATAGCATTGTCGCGGCGAGTGGCGACGTATATAAATTGACTCGTGCGATTTATGTCGAATGAATCGTAACTTGTCCCGTTGTTTTTCCATTGTAATAAAATATGCGTACGATTATAATGTCGGGAGTGCCGTACAAAGTATCGCGCGATTATCATATTTTGCGTAGTGCGCGCATAACCATAATTATTCGTATTTTCGCAAGTGAATGCCACGAAGAAGCAGCAAAAGATCAACGAGAGAGAAGGAACAGAGCCGGGGTGATGTCCAGTGACGGCGGAGAATCAGATAAGGTAAGTGATTCATTGTTTAACTCATTACTTGCGAAATTAATTGCTCTTTTATTTCCGTGACACATCTTCCATCGATCTGAGATTAAATTGAAAGTTAGAAATGCAATTGGTTTGAGTTTTTCTTCATATAGTACAAATATAGAATTACGTAATGGCTATAAAAAAAGAGATAACATAACGACGCTAACTTTATATGAAATTGAAAGTAAAAGAAATAGTAGAAAACATACGAATATGTATTCAATTAGAAAATTTTCGTTTTTTCGATAAATAAATGTAAAATTAAATTCTTTAACGTATATTTTTGCATGAAATACGTGAGACGAACTATCACGAATTTTTAAGTATATATTTGAGTTGCATGCGAGTATTTCAAGTTGAAATATTTCGAGATGTGTTTCGGGAAAGCTTTTAGTATCATTAAATTATCTTTTTCTTATCATAAGTTATCTTAAGGAATGCAATAGTATAATTTTTGTTTTTGACATAACGTTAAATTTTCATCAAAAGTTGGAAAACCTAATGTTTTATTTAAATTTTGATTGTTTATTCAAGCTTGTTTTTATCATTTAATCGTTTTCAAGTTTTCAATTGTGACATCCATTACATCAATTTCGCCATTTTATATTTGTCTTGACATATTAGATTTGTATTTTGTAAAATCCTAAAGTTTGAATAGACATCTGAAAAATCGATCGCCCGTAATACTTAATGATTTATTTTACAACTCGATAATAAACCTACATCAAATATATAATTGGGAAAATCTTATCAACTTTAATCTTCATCAAATTTCTGTTGAAAACTGAAAGTTCTAACAATATACTTAATTTTGAGTGGTATAAAACTTCTTAAGCACATTTGTACACCGTAGCTGTGTAAAGTACGCTAAAACAGTCTTATAAGTCTAATCTGAAATTTCTCAAAATTGATAGATCATTTTAAAGATCGGAAGTGTATCTAGTTAAAAAAAAAGCTACATGAAATTATAATCTCTTCCTCAGATTTAAGAAAAGATTTTTTTTTTTCATTGATACGTGTAATCGATAATAGACACATCATTCTTAAATTATTTTCTGATACAGTCATTTTGCTCGATGAATATTACTTTTATTCTTACGATTCATTCTTGAATATCGCGTTAAAATTTTTTCATATAGTTGATTAAAATGAATACATAACAGAGATCATGAAGAGGAGGAGGAGAATAATAAATTTTGTAGAGAACTTCAGAGAAATCGACGAGACAAAAAGAAATATTATTTAACGGCTGATACCGTAAGAATTTGCGTCACGTCTACCGATTAAGTTTAATCTCGAACGCTATCGCCCCGCCCGAAATCATCGTAATTTCGGCGAGAATAACGATGACGCGGAGTGGAGACGGGGATAGGGAAGAG